CCACCGTTAGGAACTTAAACTGATTAATAGCGTGTCAGAAGATAGGGGTCCGTGCCCTAGGAAGAAGAAGTAAAGGTAAAGGCAGAGGTAAAGGTGGATTTATTTTGCAAAAGCTCTTCTTTAAAGAGGGATCTAAACCTAATCCTAAGGATAGGGACTATCCTTTCTCTATAGGAGGGGGTAGTATAATAATAAGGTAGAATTGCCTGCCTATTATTCTATACTAAGTCTAGTCTAATAAAGGCCTGACTTACTAATATATATAGAGAATAGCTCGCCTATAGTTAGGATAGGTATATTCTTCTTATCCTTTCGTACAAGACCTATAGGTGTAGGAATCTTATCCTTTTCTGTATAGACGCGCACTCCTATATGCCTTTGAGTCGTATAGGATACCTTTTGGATGCCCTACCTACCTAAGTCGTTACACTCTAATCTGCTAATTATTAAGTAGTAGTAAGCTTATTACCTATATTAGTCTAAGCTTTAATAATATTTTTATATTTAGGAGGTTTCTATAGGTAGGATCTACTATATAGGTATAAAGACTCCTTCTTTAGTTAATTAGAAGGAGGAGCTCCTATTATTATAAAGACTCTAGGACCTTTAGAGCTTAATCTTATATTATTCTTGTAGAGAAGTAATAAATAGATCTTAGTAACCTATAGGAGGTTATAAGTTAGCTTTCCTATTACTAACTTTTTAATAATCCTTTAAAATATAGTTTAACCCTAATCTAGTAAGATCCTAGTAGATAGAGCTTTAAGATAATCTTATACTATAAGCTATCCTTTAATATTAGGAACGTTATATACCTTAGCTTGCGTATACAGGATTGTCTACTCCTTCTACTAGTAATTAGTATCTTAGCTACTTATTTTTACCTTAGCAAGATAAGCTTTATACTATAATCTTACTAGTATTATAGCACTTAAGTTAGTTAGCGCTAGGTTATTGCAGAGCACTTAGATAAGTGCTTAGAGGGTTACTCTTCCTTAATTAATAAGCTCTATATAGGCTAGGGTAAGGATCCCTTAATCTACTATATTATTAACCTATATAAAAAGGTTTTAGATTGCTAATAACTTTAATACCTAATCTAATAAGCAGGCTTAGTACTAAGCTATTTTAAGTTTATACTGCTTGCTTATTATATTAGATAGTATAATATCTATTAGTATATTAGGCTTAATAGGTTTATTCTTAAAGTGGTTTTTAGTATCTAGAGCCTTAGGGTCTACCTCTACCTAGATCTCTTTAGTTAGGGCATAGTATCTAAATTAAATATACTAGGTAGGCTAGTTAGTTAATCTAGTAAGTAGGATATCCCCCTTTAGGATTTAGTTACTTATAGTAGAAGAGTAATAAGTAAGCTTCTACTTAAGAAATAGTATAAAGAAAGAGTAAAGCTTACTAGCTTAGTATCTAAGTTAAATAATACGCTTAATATAGATAGGATAATCTTTAATAAGGTAAAGTGTAAACTAGGCTTATAACTATAGAAAATTAGATTACTAAGGTTAGGAATAATTTAGGAGATAGATTATTAGATTATATCTACTATAATTAGACTTATATATATAGAGCTTTAGCTACCCTTACTAGAAGGTGAATAATTAGTAAACCTTCCTTACTAGAGCTCCTGCTTTTTATTAGGCACTTGGCAGTAAGCTAGCAGTTAATTAGATAGTAGGTTATATAGGGGTATTAATTGGGATTGATTAGATCAAGATGCTCCGTGATCCGGTTGATATCCCTCCTGCAACAGCATGGTATATCCAGTATTGTCGAACCTTACGTATATCAGGTCATTCCTTATTTGCAAACTAAGCTAGTTGTAGTGTGCTCTAGCTTCTGCTTATGTCAGGCCATGGCGTCGCGTGCGCGTGCGCATATGGGAGGACTATGGGGTAGGGTGTGCCCTGCGCCTTTGTATACTGTTCTATTCGCGCATAATCTATATCCATAGATTATACTCATAAGAAGGGCCATTTCCTATATTAGCTCCTTAAACTCATCTTAATTTTGTGACACAAAATTATTAGGTAGAGTAAGACCTAAGATGCAAACGAGTGGTAGTGCGCTTACTCAGCTTACTGCTCTACAAACTAAGTACTTTAGGTTAGTAAGGCGGTGAAGTGGTCCTGCAGCCTGCTACTCGTTTGAACCTGTTGCAGAGAGGAGAACATAAGCTTTATCTCCGTCTCTTTCTACTTACCTAATCTACACAAGGATCTACAGTCTCCTCATCGCTAAGCTAGCTAAAGGTAAATCTAAATGCCAATTTATCTCTTAATAGGAGCTTAGGTACACTTATCAAGACTAAGCGGATTACTAGCTTAAGATCTACAAATATAATCTATTTGTGGAAGGTAGGTGATCACGGGGAATTGCTAATTATCCTCGCCATAATAGACAGTAGACTAATTGTCCTTGACCTTCCTATCGGTAACGACTCAGGTAAGTGGGGATGTCCAAAGGGGGTCTAATACGACTCAGAGGCATATGGGAGTGCGCGTCTGTATGGAGGTTGAACAATTGATTCCTACACCTACCGGTATAGGTCTTGTACGAAAGGACAGGTGCAGGTAGAATACTACATGCGCTATAGTTTGGTCACGTGTTGTAGCGTGCAGTAATTATTACATAATTTGCTTACGTTAAAATGTTCAACTTCTATCTAGCCAATCAGAGGTTGCGCTCCAAAGGGCACCATCCCGGGAGCTATAATGCTTCCTGCGGAAGCAATAAGCCATAGGTCGACAAAAACGAACAGAGACTTCGACTCTGTGGCGGAACTGCGACCATACACCATGTTGTTCTCCACGCTTGTATCTGGCCTCTTCTTGAGCTCCTTCGTTGCCGCAGCCCCGCCACCAAAATCAAAGCGCGCAGCATCAGTCCTCCCTCTATCCACAAAGGGACGCGACATTATTGATGCACATGGCCATGTCTTCCATTTCAAATCCACAAATTGGCCTGGCCACCAGGAGATTATGATTCCGGAGGGCCTCCAGCATTCTTCCATCAAGGACATTGTTTCGTGGTTTCCCAAGTTCGGTCTCAACTCAGTCCGGTTCACATTTGCGATTGAAATGATCGATGACATTTACAACAACAGTCCGAATCAGACCTTGGAGAAGAGCGTCATCAATGCGCTTGGCCAGACGAACGGAACGGTGGTGTTGAATCAGATTCTGAAGAAGAACCCAGAGTTTACCAAGGACACCACTAGATTGGAGGTCTGGGACGCTGTTGGGAAAGAGCTGTCGAACCAAGGTGTGATCATCCACCTCGACAACCATGTTAGCAAGGCTTTCTGGTGCTGCGGTGACAATGATGGAAACGGCTGGTTTGGCGAAAAGTTCTTCAACGTGGAAAATTGGATTCGTGGACTAGCGTTCATGGCCAAACATGTGAGTCATCTCCGACGGCGTCG